AAGAAATAAAATATTTTCCTTTAGTGGTGACTGAAAGAGAACAGGACTTTAAAAACAGAGATGCACATACGTCATACTTGAAAATTACAGTACTTTTTGACCTATCCCTAATGAAGGATATACGGATATCAGAATCTTTCTTTACCTATGAAATTTTGTTATTTTTACTGTCATTCTTAGAATATTCTTCCAGTAATGATGAAAAGGGTTTGACCCTGAAAAAGTATTGAGCGCCTCTTAAGCAGTATTGAGCAGTCATTACTCCCACTAAAATTGATTGAAGGTTAGATTTTCAAAGCTTGTAAGGTGCCTGAAGACATAAATAAGTGCCCACGGGGATTATAGTAGCACCTTGGCAGGTTATATGCATAACTCCTATTGGGTGCCTAACCGGCTTAGGCACTTTTGAAAATCAAACTATACACCTGTCTGCATTAAGCTCTATTCCAAACAATAGTACAAGCCTGTCCACCCTAACAAAAGAATCCCAAAAAAGCATGTTTCAATATACCGATCCTGTTAAAAAAACTCCATTACTAGTCTCTTTTTGTATCTATTTTGGTATTATAAATTACTAGCATTACCTGTCCTGTTGTGACAATAGATGTACACATGGCCTGTTCCCAGGGGCAGGCAGGCTTAGGCCAGTTTGGGTCACAGGGCCCCCTCTCTCTCCGCAGCTCCCGGGGGTGGGGTGGGGTGGGAGTTGGGGCAGAGCAGCCTCTTCCCTCCCCGCTGCTCTGAGGATGCTCAGGGGTGCACGCTTTCTTCCCCTCCCTGTGGAAAGGAGATGCGCACATGCTCAGAGTGCTGCTCCTCCTCCTCCCCTTCCTTTGTGGGAGCAGGGCCTCAGTGAAGGGGCAGGGCTGTAGGTGGAGCTAGGGGCCTGCTTCCCCCTAGAAACTTCTCAAGTCTTCTCAAATGGTCACTGTGACAGACAGCTTGATGGACACCTCTCCTTTTATAATAGTATAGATATAGATTATTCAGGCTAGGCATGTTTTCTGTAATAAAAGTTAAGTGCTCCAAGCCTCCTTTTTTATGTGAACAATGTGTAGAGACAGCCAGTGTAACATCAATTTAATTTTACATTGGACATTACATAGTTGTAAGTGTAAACAGGGTCTGAATAAATGCCTCCATTGCAGCCAGGTGGAATGGGAGAAAAACTCTGGTGTGTTTAAGTAAATACAGTTTGTCCCTGTGACTATTTTCTTCCACTATTTGATCTAAGGAAGTGGGTCTGGCCCACGAAAGCTCATCATCTAATAAACCATCTTGTTAGTCTTTAAAGTGCTACATAGTCCTGTATTTTGTTTCAGTTTGTCCCTGCTTTGCTTAGATGTGTTAGATATTCAGCTGATGGAATAGTGTTTTGATCATTGTAATCAACCTGGCTGGGGATAGGTCACAAATTGTGTTACTTCTAGTTGCAATGTCTGTAATTATTGTGGGAATACAAAAGAAGAAAGTTTGTGTTTAACTTGGCGCAAAGGGGAGACACCGTCAATGTAAATAAACTTGAATGAACAGAAGCTCCACTTCCAGAACCCTGTGAGATTAAGCTGGGGAGGGAGAACTCTGAGTCAACAGGCTGCATGCTCTCAAGCTGGGGAGGGAGAACTCTGAGTCAGCAGGCTGCATGCTCTTGAGGTATGAGCTGCAAGACTGGTTCAACCTATTTCTCCCCACTGTTTCAATGATAGAAGGAGTCTCTTTTATTTTTTAAATCTACTCCAATGGGTGCTGGAATTTCTTGTGGCTGGACTGTTCTTTGGGCCAAGAGCTGAAATCACTGAGAATTGAAATCATTAGTTTTGGCCCAGAGCCTAATCCACCACAAGCCAGCGGAAGATGTGATGAGTGGTCAGCAGAGCAGCGGCAGCATGATGAGCTGCCGGCAGATGCAATGGAGACCAGGTATAATGAGCAGCCAGCAGGACAGTGATGGAGAGGTGTAATGAGCAGACAACAGGGTGGCAGCAGTGAGGTGAGATGAATGGCCAGCAGGGAAGTGCCAAAGAGCTGCAAGTAGGTGGATGGTGAGTGACCAGTGGAATAAGATGCCTCCTTAGCGCCCTCCCCACTCAGGGTGGGAGGTGAACTATGTGGATGCAGCTCTGAACTCTGTGTCTGCCCTGACCAAGAGCAGCAGCTGTGAGTGGGATGCAGAGAAGGGTTGGACATGTGAAGGGGACATTTACATTGCTGGACTTAAGAGCCTGAGAACAAAAGGACATTGCCCAACCTACTTGGGGTAAAACTGTTATACATGGTTTTGGTTATTTAAAAAAATGAACACATATGAAAAGGACAAATCAAATTTCAGAACAGAAGGGGGGTGTTCCTTTTTTTTTAATTGTATCCTTTGGTATATATGATTGTGACAATTTTCTTCCACTATTTGATCTGAGGAAGTGGGTCTGGCCCACGAAAGCTCATCACCTAATAAACCATCTTGTTAGTCTTTAAAGTGCTACATAGTCCTGTTTTTTGTTTAAACCATCAGGGTTGGTGGCAAAAAGATGAGAATGAGCAACTGCAGTCACATTATAAATAACAGGCTGAACAAGATCCCAATTTGGAAGGATTATAATGAGTTACTTTTTATCCATCACACTCAATCTCCCTCCCCCAGAATGGAGAGCTATGAAATTATCATGCTTCCAATCATGACGTATTCAAATGGCCCATTTTGATGCTGCATCTATTACAGAAATAATAGACATTGGGAGTGAAATCCTCCATTCGTTTTTTCTGGGTTTCACAACTCATTTGCATTGATAAGCTCAAGAAAGGTTGAAACCTACCTCAATTCCTATTGTGCTCAGCCCTGGCAGCCAGGGCAGCCACTTTCCATGTGGTACTTGGCCCTGGCCAAGCGCTGCAGCTGCTCTTCACATGGCCCCACCAGACAGGCTGTAGGGGCAGATGACCATTTCGCGGGCCCCAGGGCAGCACAATTTCAAGGGGCCCCCCTTTTCCACGGCACATGTGCAGGGCTTCTTGAAGCACGGGGCCCGGGGCGGCCGCCCCACTCGTCCTGCCCTATATCCGCCCCTGCCAGGCTGCATACCAGCCATTAGAGCTGGAACTGGGGCCACAGTGAGGCTGCCCCAGTAGTTGCAATACACTCGGCTGACAGCTACCCCCACTCACCCTGCTACTGTGTGGGGAAGTGGGTGGGAAGGGAATTCCCTTATGGGGAACCCCCAGTGGGCAGGGCTAATTAAAAGCTGAGGGCGTGGCCTGGCAATGTGCCATGGCCCAGCAGGCAGGGGTTCACAGACCAGTGGTTGTGAACTGCTGGTTTAGAGTTCACACAAGAAGCCTGCTGAGACTGCAGAGGAGTTAATGGGAAGCAGATGGGAAAGCAGCTCACCCTGCTTTCTCTGCTGAGATGGGATTGATTCAAACTCTTCAGTTTAAAGATTGTAGGAGGCAGCTCAGGGAATACATTTTCAATTTACAATGAAATATAAATTATAAGACTGGAGGCCAACACTTAGACCTTCTAACACAACAGACACACCCCACAACAGAGGCATTTGAGCCAAGAAATGAAATGGAACAAGAGGGATATGCTGACATTAATAGAATAGGCTTGAGGTAGGATGCTAAGGAATGAGAAAGATCAAGAAAGGCATACTGCTATTAGGGGACGGAGTGGTAAATGGGCTGGCCGATTAGGAGCAAGGATGAGAGATGATAACAGAAGGGAAAATGATGGAAATAGGAACCGGGCATCAGGAAGGAGTGAGAAGAAGACTCATATACCACTGGATGAAGTGTGGAAAGGGATCTATGCACAGCAGTAGAATGGTCCTATGGGGGCCCTCACATCAGCATCTATTTTCTGTATTTGTAGGACCCTACCAATTTCATGGCCATGAAAAATGTATCACAGACCATGAAATAAGCCCTTCTCCATGAAATCTGATGTACCCTTGTTCCTTGGAGCCTTCGATCAAAGGAGGCTTCCTAGCTCTGACTGGACAGGGGAAGGACAGGACTTATCCCTCCCCTGCAAATTGCTTTAGCAGTGAGAGTGGGTGACCAGAGCAGATCCATCTCAGGGTATCTCCCACTGCTGCAGGATGCTGACTGGGACTAGGCAGCAGCCTGAGTTTCCTGCAGTTGGAGGAGTATTGTGGAGTTGGATTGTATCTTCCCTGTGCTGCTTGAGTGCCCTATCAAAGAAGGCTTCATAGCTCTGACTGTGGAGGGGCGGGACTTACCCATCTCCTGCATAGCTGGGGGTGAGGAAAGACAAGAGAGATCCACCACTGGGTGCCTCCCCTTGCTGGAGGATGCTGTTTGGGAATGGGCAGCAGCCTGAGGTCCCTGAATCTGAGTGTGGGGCAGGGGGTGCAGTGCTTTTTGCAGCCATGCAGAGAAAGAGCAAGTGTTGTCCCTCTCAAGCTGGCCAAGACTAGTGGTGAGGAGACCATAGCTCCCAGCAGCACAGGGGAAATCAGACCCACTTGGACCCTCCTGTGGTTGCAGAAAGTTCTGTGGTTGCTGCCTCCACAGTCTGGCTCTGAAGGCAGAACAGAAGTGAGGGTGGCAGTCCCATGACCTCCCGACAACAGGTTTGTGACCCCCCCCATTTCATTTTTTGGTTGGGACCCCAAGGTTACAATACCATGAATTTTAGGTATAAATAGCTGAAAATGAGAAATTTACCAGTTTTAAAATCCTATGGCTGTGAAATTGGCCGTAATGGACTAAAAATGTATGGTAGGGCCCTAAGTATTTGACATTCACATTCATTTTTTTCTTTACAGATTTGTGTAAATGTAAATATCAGCAAAACAGCAAGGTATATACACGAGTTAACCCAAGTGTTCCAAATTATTTTAGTTTTTTTCATATTAATAACAATACAACATAAAATGGAAGTGTGAATTATGATTTCTGTTGACAATTATATTAGACTTTGCAAAGTACTGTATGTTCCATTCGGATATTCATGCTGCAATCCATTTAAAAATACTTACAAGCTTCCATGGCTACTTTTGGTTTGACAAACCCCTTAACTGGTACTTTGATAATATTATCTTTCTTGCTACTGTTTACTGTGGGCTTCTTTAGGCAATCTAAATTCCATTTCTTCCAAGCAAATTTCTGTGGCTTTAGACCTGAAAAGCAAAAGTTAACTTTAGAAAAAGACAGGCATATTGGTGTTACTTTTGAAAGCTATCCTATATCAAACATGTTATTCTTCATATGAAGTTTAGACTTTTGATTCCTTTTCAGGTCCCTAATCTGCAAACACTTATGGATGTGCTTAACTTTAAGCTAGTAAGCAGTCTCACTAACTTCCATAACAAAAAACAGGACTTTGTAGGACTTTGTTTCAGCTACACCAGACTAACACGGCTACATTTCTATAACTTCCATAGGCATACTCACATGCTTAAAGTTAAGCACAGGCATGAAACCTTGCAAGATAAGGCTCACAGACATGCTAATTCAAGCTGAGAGGGGAACTCTGGTTGAAGCTGGTATCCTACTTCCACGAGGAGTAAGGGAAATCAAAGGGAGAGTGTTCTCCCTTCGACTTCCTGCAGTGTGGACAGCGCCAAAAATCGAGTTAAGGTACATTGACTTCAGCTACGTAATTAACGTAGCTGAAGTTGCATATCTGAATTTGACTATATCCCATATTATAGACACACTCAGTATGTATTTTGTGCAGATTAATGTTTATTTTATGTAATTAACAGAGACTTAACTTATGTCAGCATTTGGAATAACAATATTTTGTTAATTATGGTTTTATGAAAGATATTTATATGGTTTTGCCAAAGCAGTTTGGTCTTTAGCACTTGTGCTCTAACTGCATAACTAATGCTTATTCATTTTACTATCTGCTGTGGAATTAAAAATAGTGATGTATGTTTTTCTTCAGTAGTTTTGAAATGAACATATTTAAAATTCATGTATTTGGTTCCCCATGGCTAATATAAACAAAGTTTGTTAGGGCACATGCTAGGCTTTCACTTACTCGAGTAGTGCTATTTTATAAAAAAACAATATTTATTTATTTCCTTCCATGTAGTGCTATTTTATAAAAAAACAATATTTATTTATTTATTTATTTCCTTCCATGTTTGAACCTTGAATATCCATTTTACTATTCAATATGATATTTTCTTTCATTATCTTAATTTATTATTTTTATTAACTGCTTTCTTCACTTGATTTTGTGTATAGCTATCTCAATATATATTTCATGAGAGGAAAAGTAACTTTATTTTGTAGTTGTTCCCATTCTTGACATTCTTTCATTGTAAATGTTTTTATTTTGTTAAGACCATAAGTTATCCTGGTAGAAGTGTATAATTTGCTTTATCTGGTGGCTTTCTATTTCCTTTCCAGTTGAATTTTTTATTGTCCCTAACCCAAAAGATTTCAGCACTGCCAGAAATATATGGAATCTAAGCCCCAGCAGTGGTCTTCTAGTTATCTTTTGGTATTTGGTCTGACTGAATTCTGGATAACTCCACCCACTATCTATTTAGCGTAGTTACTTATCACAGGCTAGATCTCTGGGTTTAACCAGCTCCTCCCACTGTAAGTCCCATTTGGGAGTTATGGTGCATAATTATCACCCAGCTGGCTAACAGGTATGCTGTTCAAAAGCTTCAGAAGGGTAGCCGAGTTAGTCTGTAACAGGAAAAACTTTAAAAACAACAAACAGACTAGTAGCACCTTAAAGACTAACAAACATGTAGATGGTATCATGAGCTTTCATGGGTGCAAACCACTTCTTCAGATGACTGGAGTGTTAGAAGTCCAGATGCAAGAATAAATAAGGGAAGGGGAAGGGGGAGAGAGGAAAAAAAGAGAAAAAAGGAGGGGAAAAGAAGGAGAAAAAAAAGAGAGAGAGAGACAGTGAATAGATAGTTCAAATAGTTACAAGAGACTGATATGAACAATTAGCACCTTCATTGTTGGGTTGGTTGGTTAAGTCATTAGGGTGTGGAAGGTAGTGTGCGAGCCAGCAGATGTCCCTGTTCATACCATTTGCATAAGAATTCAACTTGTAAATGAAGTTAAGTTCCAATCTTTCCCTGTGTATTTGGCTTGTGGAATTGGTCTGAAACAATACAGTGACTTGGAGATCCATTAATGAATGTCCAGGAAGATTAAAGTGTTCTCCAATAGTTTTTTGTGTATTGTCTTTTTGGATATCTGATTTGTGTCCATTAATTCTTTCCGACAGAGACTGTCCAGTTTGGCCAATATACATGGCAGTGGGGCATTGTTGGCATAGATCACATTAGTGAATGTGCAGTTAAATCAGTCTCTGATTTGGTGGCTGATGTGGTTGGGTCTAGTGATGAGATCGCTAGTGTAGATGTGTGGGCAAAGTTGGCACCGGGGCTGATTGCAGGGGTGGGTTCCTGGGTGATTATGATGTAGGTGTGTTGCGTAGTTACCAGAAAGAATTTGTTTGAGGTTAGGGTGTTGTCTCTAGGCTGTGTCTAGACTGCAGGCTTCTTTCGAAAGAGCCTCTTTCGAAAGCATCTTTCGAAAGAGGCTCTTTCGAAAGAGCGCGTCTAGACTACAATGCGCGGATCGAAAGATCGATCCGCTATTTCGAAAAAGAGCGTCCAGACTGCCAGACGCTCTTTCGAAATTGAAAGCCACCCGGAACTGCTTCTGCCAGGGCATGGGGGCAGCATTTCCTTCCGGGTGCTGCCTGCCTGCCCTTTGCAGAGACGCGTGGTGAGAGGGACACTCCTGAACACCCGTTGCTCTGCTCCTGCAGCTGCCTTTGCTGTCCCTCGAGGAAGTAAGCAAGGCATTGCAGTGCTGCTTTGGAGTGCTCAGCTTCCTGGGACACCCCAGCAGCTTTTTTCTTTTGAGGTTTTTCTGCTTGCTACCGGTACACCTCATTCCATGAGGAGTAACGGTAGTTCGGAATAGGAAGCCTAGTCCGAACTACCTAGTTCATGCCGCGTGTAGCCGCGGGCACGGAGTCCGAACTAGCGGACATTTAAAAATGGCGGCGCCCGGCAATATGCAAATGAAGCCCGGGAAATTCAAATCCCGGGCTTCATTTGCAACTCTGGTTGCCTACATTAACCACCCTAGTTCGAACTAGGGTGGTAGTGTAGACATACCCTTAGGGCTTGGCTGTATACAATAGATTGAGAAATGTGTCAGCTCTCACTGGGAATTAGCTTTCTTTTTGACCAGAGAAACAATAAAAATATACCCCATAGTCAAGGTTTCATCTAAGCCAGTGGTCCCCAACGTGGTGCCATGGTGCCTGCCAGGGCATTTATGTGCGCCCGCCAAATGATCTGGGCCAGCCCCGCCCCCGGGCGTGTGGCACATGCGTGGTGCCAGCCTTGGGCGTGGGGAGCATGGGCGGCCCCTGCCCTTGGCACGCGGCACAGTGCTGGCCCCGGGTGTGTTGCACATGGGCGACCCTACCCACAGGCACACGGTGCATGCGCGGTCCCACCCTGGACATGCAGCACGTGAGAGGCCCCACCCATGGATGCCCGGCAGCTCCAAAAAGTTGGGGACCACTGATCTAAGCTGTGGGGCAGCACAGCCTTGCAGCTGCTTAATCAGCCCCACCCAGTCAGGGGTTCAGGACATGGAGCTGCCTGAATGGGTGGGGCTTATTTAGCAGCTGCAGGGCTGTGCTGCTGCGCAGCTTAGGGCTAGCGTCAGAATAAGGTACTGAACTTGAGCTACATCAATTGCATAGCTTAAGTCGAAATAGCTTATTTTGGCTTTTGGCACTGTCTACACAGCAGGAAGTTGAATGAACAACATCCCGAAATGAGATTTTTAATGCATTCTTTTTTTTGCCTTTTTAATGCATTCTTGTCTCCTGGTAATATCAACATAATTTTTTGCCTGAAAAACAGTGCTTTTCAATAGAAGGGGAAATTTGGAAAAAAACATTTTTGACATTTTACAGATATGTAAAAATATATTTCTACTGTTTACCAGAAATGCAATGTTTATTACACAGTACCAATCCACAGGTTAGTGAAGCCCACATTGGTTAAAATGTAAACAAATAAGCACAAAAGTAGTTGGCATCTGATATATAATGAAGAGTCCTGTGGCACTTTATAGACTAACAGATTTATTGGAGCATACGCTTTTGTGGGCAAAGACCCACTTCATTATGTCATGCATCTGATGAAGTGGGTCTTTGCCCACGAAAGCTTATGCTCCAATAAATCTGTTAGTCTATAAGGTGCCACAGGACTCCTCGTCGCTTTTGCAGAATCAGACTAACACTGCTACCCCTCTGATACTTGATCTATAATTAACAGTCCGGCTGAAGTTCAGTTTAAGAATATAAGGATGATAGGGGGTTAGAGGCATGGTATGTCTATGTCAGTATCTAGCACTCTCCCAGTATTCTGGCCAAAACCAGATGCTTCTGAAGGAATGAACAGAGCAGGGCAATTATGGAAAATATATTTCCCATGTGACAGTGTACATAAACCCTGACTAGCATAGATGGGATAAGGAGCTGCTTTGGGCTGGACTGATCCTCTCATGCTGCTACTGTAAATCATGCCAGGATTGTAGGAGGAGTTAAAAATGGAGTTAACTCCACTTGTAAAGAAACAAATGGTTCAGCTTCTCCAGCCCTGGACAGAGGACAGCATACCGACTGAGCCCCTGTCCTTGTGGAAGGAGTATGCAGAGCCCCTGAGTTGAAAGGGAAAAGAACAGAGGCATTATAGCCCAATGAGCTCTGATGTAGACTCTGAGGGTACTTCTACACAGCGGCATTATTTCAGAATAACTGATGTTATTCCAAAATAACAGTGTGCATATACGCTACAAGCCTTTATTTCAAAATAATGCAAAACTGGAGGACTTCTTACTTTGACTCATGGTAACCCTAGTTTCATGGGGAGTAAGGGACGCTGAAGGAAGAGTATTCTTCCTTCGATTTCCTGCTATGTAGACAGTGCCAAAAGCTGAAATAAGCTATTTCGACTTGAGGTACGCAATTGACATAGCTGGAGTCGCATAACTTAATTTGACTTTAGCCCTGCTGTGTAAATGTAACCTGAAAGAGTCCCATACCCTAGAGGAAACTGATTATAAGTGTTTCTTTAGTTTAACCTGTTTTGCTGACTATGGATTGTTTGGGGGCATTACTAAGGTACGGGATATGTCAGGTGAAAGTCCCTAGCTGGAAGGTTGCTGGCTCACTGAAAAGATGTCCCACAGCAGCCGCTGGGCTGGGAATGGAGTAATTGCATTCAAGCATGTGCACTCCCCATATAATTCCTAACCAACCACAGACAGATTTTTGACTGTCATCCAGTTCCAGCTTCTGGAAGTTTTAGGGAACTCGGAGCATGGAGTTTTGTCCCTGCCCATCCAGGCTAATAGGTATTGGTGGACCTATCTTCCATGAACTTATCTAATTCTTTTTTGCATTCAGTTTTACTTTTGGTCTTCAAAACACCCCATGACAATGAGTTCTACAATTTAACTGTGTGCAGTGTGAAGACGTACTTTTTAATGTTTGTTTTAAACCTGCGGCCTATTAATTTCACTCCGTGACCTCAGTTTGTTGTATTAGGTAAAAGGGTAAATAACATTCACTATTCATTTTCTCCAACACCATTCATGATTTTATAGACCTCTATCAAATCCTCCCTTTAGTAGTTTCTTTTCCAAACTGAGCAGTTCCAGTCTTTTTAATCTCTTCTCATATGGAAGCTAATAATATCTGTTGTTCTTTCCTATACTTATTCTAATTCTAATATATCTTTTTGAGAAGGGATGACTACAAATACACACAGTGTTCAAGGTATGGATATACTAGGGCTTTCTATAGAGGCATTATGATATTTTCTATTTTATTATTTATCCCTTTCCTAAGGGTTTCTAACATTTTAGTAGAGTTTTTGATTGCCACTACACATTAACCAGATATTTTCTGAGAACTAATCATAAAGAATTCAAGATTTTTTCTTGAGTGGCAACAGTTAATTTAGAATTTATCATTTTATATGTATAGTTGGGATTATTTTTTCCAATGGGCACTTATCACCATTGAATTTCATCTCCATTTTGTTACCCAGACACCAAGGTTAGAAGAACCCTTTGTAACTCTTCACAGTCAGCTATGGACTTAATTATTTTCATCTGAAAACTCTGTCACTTCACTGTCCCCCTTACTGTTCACTTCTCCAAATTATTTATGAATATGTTACACAGCACAGATCTCAGAGGGATCCTTGGGAGACCCTATTTCCCGTCTTCATTGCGAAACATGAGCATGCATTCCTAACCTTCATTTCCTATATTTTAATCAGTATCCATGAGAGTACCTTCCTTCTTATCCAACAACTGCTTACTTTGCTTAAGAGCTGTTGCTGAGGGAGCTTGCCAAAGATTTTTTAAATCCAGCTTCACTACATCAACTGACTCATCCTTGGGTATGTGCTTGCTGACACCCTCAAAGAATGTTAATTGATTGATAAAGCATGATTTCCTTTAAAAAAAGTCTCTTTCCTCCAAGGTATAGTGTTCAATAAAAGCTACAGATTATTAACGTACCTTGGTAATAGTCCATCATACATTTATTAATAATACAAATTTCAAATCAAATTCTTCTGCCAAAGGAGGTCTATTAGAATAGACACAGCTTGGTCCCTGTCATAATCTTTATAGAAAATTAAAAAAAATCTCCTGGAAAAAAATTGCATTCATCCAAGGCTTTCCAGTTCCAAGTATTTTCATAGGACATTTACAATTAATTCAGGGGTAAGATGTTCTTGTGCTCCCTCCAAAACAGATAATTCACACTGTCTGTCTCTGCCTGTATTCTTTTCCAATAATCAGTCTGGAAGATTTTTCATTTTTGCTCCATTGTTGTGCTCACCACAGATTCTTCCTGAATAGTCCCTTCACATAGGATCATAGAGAAAGTGACAATATGGTTCACTGCACACACACAGCAGTGAAAAAGCCTGCCAGACCTATTAGCAGAACATAGAACCTATGAAAGAGCCATTCAGGTGGCAATGAAACCATTGAACAGGCATTTGCCAACCCCAAGCATACACTGTGAGTTTCTGAATTTTCTGTCAACACAACAGGACCTTATTTAAAATTTTCTTTAGAGATATTTCATTAGCGTGTTGCTGAAGATTATAAAATCATATCTCTAAAAATGCATCATCCCCTGGGACTGCCGTTGGGCATAGAGGTTCCAGTTGAATAATACTGCATAGGGATCCATAAATCCAAATGACGTCCTTGAGAACTGAGATACCTACAGCTACAAAATAATTGGCTTAAATAAATCCTCATTCAGTTCCATGTTTATTGTTTCCTTAAATAAGTAAAAACTTTTGTTCCTCAGAGATTATGATGAACTATCAGCTCAAATTACCTCCATTTGTTTTCCAATCTACCACCAATTGTTTTCAATCCTCTAACCAAGAGTTGGAATTTGAGATATTAATGTTCCAGACTCAGAAAAGCATCTTTGACAATAGCAAAATGCAGGACTATGTAGCACTTTAAAGACTAACAAGATGGTTTATTAGATGATGAGCTTTCATGGGCCAGACCCACTTCCTCAGATCAAATAGTGGAAGACAATAGTATTTGACAATACTATTTGACAATACTTTGACAATAGTATTTTTAATAATAGGTCAGTATTAATCATTCATTTTAATTATTTATTATTATTAATAATAATAATAATTAATAAAACTAGTAGGGGGTAAAAGTAATAAGTTCTGAATGAGGGAAAGATATATTGAAATCTGTAATTCTTAATATATACATTTCAAAAATATATTTAAACTAACAGTACCTGATACCCATTGAAAAATTAAATCTACTAATCCATCTTTAAATGCATCATCAAAAGATTTACTGGATTCTGGAAATGCTTCACAAAAAGAAACATATATGACTTGTGACAAACAATCAGGATATACCTGCCAAAATAAGAATTAAACTGAATAAAATAACTATAAGATTACAAAATGAGTTTTAGTACTAAATTCACTATAGTTATAATTCTGTTTACATAACAAAATTAAAGCAAAATTTTGCATTCAGTCTGAACTGAAAATGCTAGAACATATCTGGAATCTGGTCCAAGTTATGTTATAACATATGTTACATACTGTAATCATTGAACTAACACATTCAAAAATAGTTTGTCTTTATTATTTGTACAAAATATTAAATATCTGTGTCAAATACAATAGCAGGTATAATGATCAATACCTTGGTGAAAAATGGTACAAGTCAAGGTTGCTAGCAAGAACAAGAATTGTGAAATGCTGATTCCAAAAGACTATATTTATAATCTCTGAATGAGTCATTATGAGCTCAAATGAAGCATGGAAGAGTGAATTGGGAATAAAAAATAGTTTAAGGTTTAAGTAATCACTATATGTAATGAAAAGTAAGCATTTTGGAAAATTTTGGCATATTTATTTTAGGATTAAATTTCATTAGTCACATATTGTTTGACCTAGGTATTAATTTCAGATTGCCTGCATGTTGTCATAATATTAGAAGTTGTCACTCTCCTCTCTTTTTTCTCTATCCCTCCCTCCTCCACTCATACAGCTCTGTTTTGTCTACCTAGATTACATAGGTTCAAATATTTGCGTATGAACTTTTGCACTGTCAGCATTTTTATAAAGCTAAAAATATCTATTCAGATAACATTTTCATAAGAAAATACTATGCAAACATTTCAACAATTGAAAACTATGAGTTTCTTTTAAATTTCATAAGCTGCATAAAAAAACACAGCTGCTGCCACATATCAGTGTGAAATTTAAATCCTATATCATATCTAGAATCTGGTCCAAGGTATGTTGTGATATATGTTGCATACTAAACATGCCATACAAATATATTTGTAATTATCTCTACTTCTAATTTCTTCATGTGAGTGGGAGGCAACTGCACCTCAAGCAGAACACCACCTCATGGACTTGCACATGGCCTTTCTAGACCTAATGACTATTTTCTCATGGTTAATTATAGTACTTTGTGGCTACAAGGCCCCCAGGAGGAAAAAATCTAGTCAGAGTAAATTGTTTGTAAAATTGTGTACTGAGTGAATTGTGACGAAATAGCCTTGTAATAACTTTAATGCAACCCAAAACTGTAGTGAGTTCCAAGTGCCACAGCCTCTCAGAGTGAGAACTACTTGTAGGAAAAATCAAGAGTCAATCCTAGTTTATTGGATGTTCTTTGGTGATCATCACCACAGGATCTGAGAACCTCATTTAAATTATTTAAATAATCCACATAACTCCTATATAAGGATTGCACCACTAATCCTAAGGAAGATTGCAATCCCTCTTGTTAGGCCCAGCTGATAATGTGTACCTTAAGAGGTAGATAATTATGTTTTCAGCATTAATTGATATGTAATTTAATAGAATTCTGAATTGTGTTTTTCAGTAGGAGTATGTTACATAAGATAACATTTCCAAAAGTATTTCAAGGCTAGGTTTACAAAGGAGATTTAGGTGTTGCAACTCTGAGCCTAACTCCTAGGAGCCTTGCCACCCAGTGTTATTCCCAGCAATGAGTTTGTCACCACGGCGCCTCATACAACACATAGAGAGAGTTAAGAACCTAATAAAGGGATTTTCAGAAGCCAGTAGTGAAAGGCAGAGAAGGCAGGGTTTAGGCAGCTAAGCAGCTGATTTTATATGCCTGGCTGACAGACCAGAGAGAGGAAAGTCTCTCTTTCTAGGATCTCAGTTGCAAAAACCCTCTCTTGTACTTAGGTATTTATGCCAGGTCAACTGCCTAGGTAGCCCATTCTCTACCTGCCAAAATGCTTGCTTTCTCTCTCTTTCTCTCTCTCTCCCATGCTCATTTTAGATACCTCTCTCATTCTGGTTTTAAATTTACCTGTGCCCTGGATGTTTTTTGTGCAGATGCTGTGCTCTATCCCCTCCCCCACAAACATACACTTCCGCCCATTTATCAGTGACTTGCATCCAGTGCCTGACAGGTAACAGGTGTACTCAGAGCACACCTACAGGATAAGGCCCAGCAGGTGAGGTAGGCATTCTCTTTCTTACTTCAGGGCTTCAACTACTGCTCTGAACAGCCTGTTAGCTGACAGCAGCACTTAGATTGCTTTGTAAATCCTTACTAGAAGAAACTTAGGTGCTCAAAGTACCTCGTCAGCTAAAGAGATTATGTGGCACATCAGCCATAGCTTTAAAATGTCAGCAGAACCTAAGTGGGGGAATTAGGCATCTATTTACCTATTTTGGTGCCTAAATCCCTTTAAAATCTGACTTTTTGTCCTGTGATGCTTTTGAAAATTTTCATGGGGCAAGCTGCTGCTCCCTAACTTCTACTTCCTTTTGTTCAACCAGGGAATGTTTGTGGTTATGTGGGTGAGGAAGCTTGTTTCTGTATGCTTTCTCCTTTTGACATGCCAATTTCCATGCAATTAATGCATTTTTCCACACTATCTACCAGAGAGAAGAAGAACCTTAAAACTTGTCAGACTCATATAACTAATCATTGCAACTCATATGTCACCATACCCTTACCTGAAAAAAAGCATCTTTAGTATCACTGGGGACGCATAGGAAAAGTGAAACAAAACTGTCTGCAATTCTGTCAAACAAGTGATCTTGATTTTCTCGATTAGGCTTAAAAAGAAAAAGCAACAAAAAATAAGGAAGTTATGAATTCACATGATGTTCAGAATTTAGGCCCTGACTCAGCAGGGTACTCATACATGCGAGTAATCCCACTACAGATAGTGGGATGACTCACATGTTTATAGTTAGACATGTACATAAATACCATGTTGAACTGTGGCTTTAGCAATAGTATTTAATCTGATAGTATCATGAAAAATATTGTAATCCATATTCCCAAAGTAATTTTACATGTTGCTGTATTCTCCCCCCCCCCCCCCCTCACAT